CGTTTATGAAAACCAGGTCTAGTGATTTGTCCAGACGTGTATTAAACTTGACTAGATTCTCATGACCAAGTGAAGTAAGAAAGCTGTGATCACATGAATTAAAATCACCACAGACTATAGACAGCGAGTTTCCGAATGCAGGAGCAGCGAATTCAGTAAATTCATCTGCAAACGTAACTATATTTGAAAGGCTACAATTGGGTGTTATGTAGATATTTGTTATGTAAATGTAAGAATATTTACTTAAGTGTTTTGGGCGACACCTGACGGTTATGCAGTCTATATTGTCACTAGAATAATTGAAGCAAACGTGATTTGATGTAGACCAACTTATGTTTATAAAAGTGGCTACCCCTCCTCCACATTTTTTCTTAGAACTTTTTCTATCTTGTCGAAAAACTTTATATCCATTTATTGAAACTAGATTATCATCATAATGCTGGTGCAGCCAAGTCTCTTGTATTGCTAAAACGCCAGCGTTTCGATAAACATTAGAATACATTAGGGATTGAAGATAATCCATTTTGTTGGACAGGGATCTACAATTAGTGCTAACGAGTTCAGGAATAGTCATTTGATTAATTTGTGTACGTTTCAGTGCACGCTGCCATCCACAGTGATGCTTTTTTCTCAATTTTTGTGGATGACACAACGCAGTAGGTTGTAATGATTTTAAAAATCCGCGATTATAAATAATACGATTAGAACACATTATTGATAAATTAAAACAAAATTAAAAGAGCAAACCAAAGCAATTTTGCAAAATGTGGTAAGGTGGAATTTTTGGTAGCCCTATGTTCAAGCAGGCCGCCGTTTTTTTTCACGTTCTCATTGAGATTGATTCGCTATGAAACTGTAATAAAGAATTTCAATGAATCTCAGCCTGTTTCACTTCTTCAAACACATAGAAGACCTATAAGTGAACACAAACTGAATTCCAAGAAAGGAAGGTGTAAATTTCTTGTCGCGACTCATTTCAATTCGAATGATAGTGTAAATGTATGGGTCTATTTCAATTCCAGTGTCACACTTACAATCAGGTATTTGTGGTTCATAATTAGGCAGGATCCACAATATTGTTAAGCAGTGAGTCAGACCAGTATTTTGAGTACCATCTAAGTGACAAGGATTTCATGGAATCGCGATTTTTAAGTCTCGTATGCTATAAGAAACTGACACCCGATCAGGTGTTATTTAGTGTTGATCGTAAGTGGAATTAGACCAAATCGTTTCATGATGGTGCGTGTGCTTGATATCGAGCTTGGAGTTCCTGAAGTCACTGAACTTATTCATTTTCTAAGAAATAGCTGATATAATTAATCAGAAGTAGTTTGAAAAGTAAAATGGAAAAATTATATTATGCTCAATGACACACAGGAATAAAGGGTTAAAGATGTGATAATGTTAGGATTGTTGTTGAGTGATAATAAAGGTAGTTTCCGTGGGGTGAGTTATATTGGCCACACAAAGAACACTTTCCAAACGCATCTCTGAACATAGTCCGGCCTGTTAGTAGGAGGAAAACGAAAGACAGTTACTAGCTGTATTCTCGAGGACTTGGTAAACACATGCTAGGTGGCTCCACCAAAGTTATCTTTTAAGATTATCTACAAGGTGAGACCGAATGTTACAAGCGGCGTTAGGTTTCGGTTTTTCTGTATGGCTGAGGTGCTGGCGATTTGTCAATTCAACGCTACGCTCTTTATACAGAAAACGTTTGTCTAGTCTCGTATTCTACCATGGTCTTAACTTCTTCATTATTAATTTGCGCTTATTTTTTCTTTTCAATAATTAGATTGCTTTTATGTTTGATAAATAATTCAGTATTATCACTCTTGCACGTTGCTTTTAAAAGTTTTCTCACCCTCTCCGCACTTGTTAAACGCAGATTCAACTATCTTTCCCTTCACTCAATAACACTTGTAACTTTATCGAATCGCTAACCCTTCCTTCCTTTGTGCCATTCAGTATTACTTGCTTTTTACCTTCGCTTTTTAAACCACTTCTGAGTAACTGTATCAATTAGGTCACCCATTGCTCACTAGTTTATTAATTAACAGTTTCTGGTAAATATGAATACGATTGCACAACCAGCGAAGATGATTTCGTCGCTGAATTTTCTTTCATATCCTTCATAAGAAATAACTCTTGGATGTGGATTTATTAAATAAGAGATGCGCATAGACTTTGGACACTGAAGCTTGACGTTACTACAACGAATCGCATTTATATTTTTTTGGTACAGCCATCGCCGGGAAGAATTTGTGCACGAATGTAATTTGATTTCGCCTCCAAATATCAAAAACAAGAAGCCAGTTTCAAAAATTTTACAACTGAATGCTCACAGTACTCGTCAGTTGGATCATACTTACCAGCTGAAATTAATTCTTGCTGCTTCTTCGTATCGATACGTCTAAAACTATTTCATACGAAAATTGAATACATTTTCAAAATCTGACAGTATCCATCGTAGCCTAGCTGGTGAAGGACGGGCAAAGTATTCATTACGTGAGCATATAAGTTACCTTACAAATGCAACTCGCCGCGCTTTCGTCTCAGCATTCTTGTATAAGTAGAACAGAGGCAGTTAAATATGACTTGAATTTACTCAGGCTGGAACTAGAGAAATGCTGTATTCATGTTAGATGTTGCAGTCGGCTTCTTCAGGAGTGTTATATCAACTTCTCACACAGCTGGAATATCTGTTTGTGTGAAAATGCCTCAGGATAACTTATATTCCCACCTGTATTGATGAAGACACTAGCTCCAATTCTACCGCAACCTAGATCACCATTTCACATTCAGTCATTATCGATTATAACAATGGTTGGCTGTCAATACAAGTGAGTGAAGATAATCGGGCTAAAAGGAAAGCAGAATTACGTGTTAATTGACAGTTGACTAGATAATGTGTTTGAATGTAATACCTAGGGGATGATTTTCAGCCAAACAGTTTGTTGTAACATTTGTGAGCAGATGGTGAATTCAGGATCTGTTAGCCGAGGGCAAAAAATATAAATTTTTGCATGAAACATGTACGAAAATAGTGTCATAACGATTGAATGAAGCTGTTGTCTGATATCTTCACCAACCCGTTA